AATTTCCGCGAGCCACAGGTTGGAATGCATCGATTGGTTTCTCCGAGGAATCAGCCTTAATCGGCCGCAGTTTTTAACTAACTAAAATTAATTTAAATTTAAATAACTAAAATTACTGCTCACGGACCTTTATGCAAGGTGCTGATCATCGGCAAAAAAAAAGTTATGTCTAATTTTAGCTATCGTATTATAACGAAAAGCATAACCAAAAGTATTTTTAAGAAGAGATGATGGTGTACCTGTCTTGGAAATTTCGCGATTTTTTTTTATCCCTCATTTCAAATGCGAAATTTCGCTTAGTAATACTATGTTGTAACGAAAGCGCGTTTTATGCCGCATATAAATACATATTGCTTTTTTTTCTTACAAATCGCTAAATTAATATTTTTTAAAATCACAGCGTTCAGAATGTGAGGAAAAAATGCGGACTGTTGCGTTGTTTGTTTGCACAAAAACTTTCGTTACAACCGAGTCCTATTTTTATTATAATTTACCGAGTTATTGCTTGCCAAATACGTTTTTTTTTCCCGAAAAATGAAATTAGGTCATTTCCGTCTCAAGTGTTCCAAAGAAATTCCAAGAATTGAATTGTGGGGGAAAAAACAGTAATATCTCCAAAAATATTTTTTTTTTGTAAGAGAGCTGGTTCGCAGTTTGTTTTAAAACAGGAGCACAGACAATCGTAACCTGGTCCAGGAGTTGTTCTGTCGCCATTAGAAAAAAAAGAACATTTTTTGAAATTTTAGAAAAAAGTTCATTTTTTTCACACGGCAAAATTCTTGTAAGTAGGGTTATTTATTAGGCATTAGGCTATTTTTCAGGATCAAGAAGATTTTTCTCAAGATGCATTGATTTCGTTTTTGAACTGTGTGGGTATGATTCCTCCACAGGAATAGAGCTCTCAATGCTCCTTCGAACGGTAGTAGTATTAGTATTATTAATATTATTAACCGTAGTATTAATCTGGTTACTCGGAGAGCCTGAAATTTGGCATGAGAAAAAAAAATAATTTTAAGCGATTCAATAACTTAAGAAAATTCACCAAGCAGCGCTCAAACTCACCTGAAACCTGATTTGGACGTAAAAACATATTATTTATTTGACTTAGGGCATTCAAGAGGGGCCAGAAAATACCCTTCATGCAAATCATAAAAAACCTTCATAAAAAACCTTAATAAAAAACCTACATTATCTAATACTCTCCAAAAAGGAAATTTTAATTTTAATTTTAATGCATTTATATTTAAACTACGTGGAGTGAACAATGCGCAAAAGAAGGTGGTGGTGTGCCTGAACGCATATCTAGCAATAATAACTCAGCCTGCACGGGCCTTTACATGCAAGCATACCGTCCGTCCTTCAAAGGTCAACACAAATTCAGCATCAACCCAAAATGAATTCCCCTCACAGGTCGCCGTGTTCGCCCACGACCAGCGGGAGCAATTCACCAATCTGAGGGGCCTGCTGACGCCCGAGCAGGTGGTCCTCGCCAGCGACACCATCACCCACGTCCAGATCCGCCCGGAGGTCGTCCTGAAGCGAAGCAAGGGGGAGAGGCCCTGCACCCTGGACGAGGGCTACAGCTACACGAGGGTGAATCCAGTGCAATGCTATATAGGAAGATGCCATATAGGAAGATGCCATATAGGGAGATGCCATAAAGGGAGATGCCATATAGGAAGATGCCATATAGGAAGATGCCATATAGGAAGATGCCATATAGGAAGATGCCATATAGGAAGATGCCATATAGGAAGATGCTTTATAGGAAGATGCTTTATAGGAAGATGGCGATTTGCCAGTCAAGCATCCACGCTTCCGTTAATACTCAGACGAAATATGGAAACTTTCAGGGCCTGAGTAAAACGATGTTTGTGCATTTGTGATGTTTGATATGTTTGTGCATTGACAGGAACACCCCAATACAGAAAGGCTCTGCAAGCAATATCAGGAAATTTCTCAGACAAACGCGGCGTTTTGAACGAGGGCTTACGCCGGGAAGGACGAGAAGCAGAGATAGTCGGGAATTTTACGGGAAAGAAAAGTGCAGGAAAAAAAAAACATTTAACTGGAAAATTATTGGGTGTTAACATGTTAATATATGACACTGCTTGACCAATAACTCAATCCAGCGGCATCAGGATGGGAATGGTACAAAAAAAAAAGTCAGGCGCCATTTCGCGTCCGTTGGTGAATGCGGCTATGAACTTCTCTGAAGTTTCACCATAAGTTGCTATGGCGCTTGCCTCTTTGGGTTTCTCGGATTCGATCAGACGGAAGGGATAATGAAGGGATAAAGGGATGATCTTTCAGAGATGTTTCTGGGAAAGTCTGGGGAGAGGTTTACCAGCCATGAAAAAAAAAAACCGGAAATGTTCCATTTTTCATGCGGTACCAAAAACGGTCACTTAGTAATACCAACTTTCCAGGATATAATGGACTATTCTTCTTTGACTCTCATCTGCTCTTTAACTTAGATGATGCTGGATTATCCTTGGATTATCTTGGAAAATGATTTACCAGTGCATGGAGAACTGCTTCTGGGCATGGGTCCAGGATCAGCCGGGACAGCCGTGCGTGCTCCTGCCGCTTCTGCCGAAGGAAGCGAATCTCACGAAACCGGTCTGTCGGGGTCAAGGTCAGGACTGGGTCCAGTCGCTGGAGCTGTCGAGGGCCATCGAGGTCGAAGCGGCCGAGTTGCGGACGAGTTGCGGCTGCCCGAGGAGGTGCAACTCGACCGAATATCGCATCTCGGGGGATTCCACTTCCGCCTGCGAGGATTTCGTCGCGCGTGGGGACAGGAAAAAAAGAGCTTTCCTTTTCTTCAGCTTCCCGTCCAGTCAGGTGCGTCTCCCCGAGACCTTTTTGCCCGTTCCGGAGGGGAAAAACACGGAAATGCTGGAAATGCCTCCATTTTTTCCGAATAGATGCCTCAATTCCAGGAGAAGGAAAAAGTGACTCTTCTGGATCTCCTGTCGAACATCGCAGGGATCGTCGGCGTCTGTCTCGGCGTCTCCCTGATTACCATCTTCGGCATCATCGAGCGACTTTTCTTCGACGTCCTGTGCGCCTCACTCCAGCCGAGAAAGCGGATAGTCGACTGATGGTCGATTGATGGTCGATTGATGGTCGATTGATGGTCGATTGATGGTCGATTGATTTTGTCTCCGGGCGTGTCCACGCATGCATGTCATCTGCCCTGAAGACTTCTCGCCTTCTATTATGTCTGTGTAATTGCCTGTGTAATTGCTGTGTAATTGCCTGCCGAGTACAAGCCGTTACTCTCGATCGCATTGCCTCGCAGTAGATACATTTAATCGCGTCGACATCGAGGAGAAGTCTGACCAAATGTCTCACCCAATCGACTGACGTTGAAGGAATGCCCACTGCCGTCAGGTACTTTACGCAAATGGTTTCAGTCGAGGGCAAAATTGTCTAGAGGCTCAGGGATGCAGGGAAATGGAAACTTGATCCACGAGCAGGTTGGCCCTCTTCCCCTGTTTTCGTGGTGGTCGGAAAGCCTTGGCTTAAGCCGCAGGTTGCCGTGAAACATGACCGTGAAACATGACATAATAGCGCTAAAATTTTCGATTTCCAAGCAGTCATATGATGAAGCAGGGTCCTACATCATCTCTTCGCTAGACCGGACTATTGTCTGGTTTCAAGGGCCTGGACGAAAAGAGCTTATTAAAGTCCATTCAGCAGACCCTTCCTTTCAGCCCAGTCATGTCAGTCTCGCCTGCAGGGAGCAGAAAAGTTCCCAATGAGCGTAAACACTAAAATAAAACTGCACATCAGGCTGACGGCTTCATACGGGCGCAGTCAATAAAAACGAACTGAAGATAAATGCGGGGCAAGTCGATTGAGGCAGGTCGCATTCCATTCCACTGCCGCTGCGTTTCACGATTCATTTCAGAAATTTCATTTCAGAAATTTCATTTCAGAAATTTCATTTCAGAAATTTCATTTCAGAAATTTCATTTCAGAAATTTCATTTCAGAAATTTCATTTCAGAAATTTCATTTCAGAAATTTCATTTCAGCCATTCCGTGTTTCTCTTTGGCCTCTCCCCTCTCTCCCGGTTTTTCCTCTATTTAATGCATGTAACTTCTTACAAAATCAAATATTTCCGGAAGATGAGAGTGATGAGGGTCACTTACAGAGAAAAGTGTGGTGTAACGATTGAATTTTCCTGTTGCGAGGTGCAGAGGTTGAATAGCATCGGTAAATACCTTGTTATATAGGATATAAGTATTTTCCTAGTTTGTTCCCTGATACATCAGCGTTACATGACTGAGTTACATGACATTCCATCGGCTGAGCTAAGGTCCAGTAAATCCGAGCAACTCTCCTGATAAACGTTCCCAGGTTGAAGAAATGGCATATTTATGGTATGGAATAGTATGGAAAATGGTATATTTAACACGTGAAGGGCCGGGAAGATACTTTAGCGTTAAAAAATTATTTTCTAAAAGTTCGAGTTCAGTCGGTCAAACTTCTTGCGAAATCGCCGAAGCCCGGGAGATCAAATTCCTCGATCTCATCTTCACATCGCCCATCGTCTGAGAACCTAGTTCCTACTTAAAAGCAATTATTGGTGCTACTGGTGTCGGAGATCCCCAAATGAGAGTGCAGGAAGCAAAAGCCACCCACAGGCACTTCAAATGAGTTTTCGTGTCTTCGCCTCTATAAAGAACAGACTGAGCTTAACACGCAGTTCACTTTCCTAAAATAAAAAAATATGTGGATGATTCTAATATTTTTTATGGTTGCATATTACCTTTTGTTCTCGCAATGAATCGCGCTAATTATATTTTCCGTCTCTTTTTTCTTCCATCTGGGAAAGCGATTCCGATTTCGGCTGAGAATGGCAATGAAAGAAATGGAGAAACTCGGCCTTGGCAAATATCTGATGCAGATATCCTCCGAAAAAATTGTTTACACAAATTAAGAGAAGGAATAAATAAGTAATACAAATGAGAAATGGAGAGAGATTTCTTCTATTGCCATTTTCCAACCCTCTTCGGCGAGACGCTCTTGAGAGCGGCTTCCATCCCTTTCAGGTTCTTCAAGGTCATTGTCTCATCGTCTTTTTTCTTGCTTTTGTTATTGCTATAGGATTTCTTGCTGCTCTTCTTGGGTTTGCTGCGGGGTGGGACGCCTTTTCTCTTGAGGAGACCGCTTGATAGGTTGTCGAATCCGTTGAGTAGATTGTTTGATTTGTCGTCCAGTCCGTTGAGTAGATCGTCTGATTGGCCGTCTAACCCGTTGAGTAGACCGGACTGGTCGCCGAAACCGTTGAGTAAACCGGGCTGGTCGCCGTAACCGTTGAGTAAACCGGACTGGTCGCCGTAACCGTTGAGTAAACCGGACTGGTCGCCGTAGCCACTGTTGCCGAGGAAGGCGAGATGGTCGTAACCGTGATGGGCGTGCTTCTTCTTGGGGATCTTGCCCTTGAATGTCGCCGATTCGAATCGGACAAATTCGGACATGAGCCCTGCCAGAGGAAACCAGGGATGAGGAATTAAAGGAAATCTTGGTAAGTGACAAATATAAAGTAATACTTGTAAAATGTGATAATGAATAATGAAGTTCTTTTCAAAAATTTACTGTTGTCTGAAGAGGAGGACGAAATAATTATAAGAAATGTGAGTTTTTACTTTATTTGCCATAGTCTCTACCAATAATACATATGGTATGGGTAGAATAAAATCGTTTTCATATCGTTCGCATCCAAAGACTTCTGAAGAAACTAATGTAGAAGTCTACAGCGACTGATCGAACCTATAACGCCACGATCAGGGCCTCCCGCTCCGAAAGGATTCAACTCGCACAAGGACGCACGGACAATGCACGGCCTTCATTTAGATGGAGATGGAGGAGAGCTTAAGAGCTACTTCTTGAGAGTGAACTAAGGGAGGTCTCAGCATTCGGGCCCAGCACCGTCGCTGGAACCTCCTCGGTCGACCTCGTCTTCCTCGCTCCCATATACCACTCGATGCATCGATGCGACTCAGTCACGGGACCTAAAGTTCTTTGAATTCACCGAGGCAACCGGTTTCGCAAGTTGCAACTCCATGACGCGAAATGCAGGTGAGGATTCTTTCGTCTGTCGATTTTGGCACTCAAAAATTAAAATTCGATTTGCAAATGTTCTTTTCTTCCTCAGCTGTTCCATATTTTCAAAAGCTTATATTTTAAACTCACAATTAAATTCCATGGAATTCTACTAAACAAATTCTACGAAAATCCATGTTTCAACTTAATTCCTAGGGCGTGGAAATAGCAGCTAGCAATCGAATCCATAGTCTCATTGCAGCTTGATTAGTTCTGGTTAGACCAGATTAGCTCAGGTTGTTCTTTACGCGTGTTCCCTTCCAAAACCAATTAAAACTCCAAATTTTTATTATTAATAATATTTTAAAAGCGACTCACATATGTACAAGAGGCCGAGGCTGACGATGACGATCGGCATGGAGAGGCCGATGAAGGACGAGATGATCTTGGTCGTGTCGATCACTACCGTCTGGGCCGTCGTGTCCACCGTGATGCCCCACCAGCTCAGGATGCTCGTCAGCGTCGGCGGCTGCGGAAAAGCGACGACGACCATTCGTGCCAAATTAGCAATTTCCATATGACGAATGCGTGACGTGTGGCTTACACACAGACGGCTTGCGTCCCTTCCCTGGCCTGCGCCTTGAGGGGCGTGTTAAATGTTGCTTCGCGGTGGAAAGTAAAAAGCACAAGCGCTGATGCGATGTGGTTCTCGGCAGGCCATATTAATGTGAATGAATCGCGCATTTACAGGTACTATTTTTGGCGACTTCTGGTCAACCTTTTGCATATATCTGGATGTTAGAGATCTGCAAGTTGACATGATCGGATGGAAATTGGTCTGATGGCGTGAGTCGACTTTGACTCCATTTTGTGGTCGCCTTACTTAGAATATGTTCTTTCCGACAAATTGGCGCGTCATAGCCTTGTGCCAAAGAGTGGCGGACTTGAGGTATGCAAGGGCATCAAGGGCTACGGCCCTCAATCCGTCCGATCACTTTCCGGCCCTCAACGACTCCAAGTCCCTTTACACCCTTCAACGGTCCCGACCGCGTTCTTCCCTTTAACAATCCAGGTCCCTTTCTCCTCTCAGCTGGCTCCTATTTCCACGTGCTCCACCATTTCATCCACCTGTTCATCGCCCTCCCTCGACGTCCACGGACACGGCCATCGAGAAGGAAACTCCCACGGAAGGACTCGGACGGGACTCACCGTGAGGAGATCGATGACCTGCCCCCCAGTCTGCCTGGGGGTGCCCTCCACGCCGAAGCTGCGGAGCAGCGCCGGCACGTGGATCCTCGTCTCGACCAACGGAGCCTGAAACATCGATAGAACCTTGAATAGCACGAATAATGCTGATTTGCATTATAATTTTTACACCGTACACACGTTGGAATAATTAAAAATGATGAGAATGGTTACACTCTAAAAATTTCCTATGCAAAATGTTTCTCATTTTTTCACCTATATTTCACAGGTTTTCCACCTAGCACTCATCTGAAGGATTTTCTGACAGCTCGAGAGCCTGTGCTTCGCTTCGTACAACTTTCGCTTCTGAGGCATTCGCATGCGGGGCCATTGATGCCAGCGACAGGAGGAAAGATGAGGAACAAGCACCTACAACGGAAGCGCGGATTTTCGATCCAGTTGACTCATTCTCGTGTGGATTCCAGAAGAGCGTGGGTGGGTGGGGGGGGGGGGGGGTGCATCTTTTTAAAATTTAAATGAATGAAATGAAATCACCTTCGATGCCCGAGTTTCCGTCATTCGTATTGCTGCCTAGAGAACTCGAGATCTCGTTTTGTTTTTCCTTCCTCTGTGCAGACGGAATGTTCGTGGCCGAGGGTCACTCTTGTCCTCGACATCATCGTTATTTCCATGCTGCATGGGAACGGGGAACGTGCAGGGCATAGGATAGTAGGCATCCCTTGCACTCCTCCGTCTTAGTGCAATGGGTCAGGGAGCCCATCTCTATCCCTTCACCCTCCATTCCCGTCCTATCGGATTCCCCCCCCCCCCCTTCACCCTCCATTCCCGCCCGTCGGAATCCTTCACCTTTCATTCCCGTCTAATCGCATCCCCTTCGCCCTCCAACCTCCTTTACCATCCTACGGCATTCTTTAGCTTTCATCCTCCATACCCGGAGAAATGAAGATACATGCGTTTCGAGTGACGCTACAACGATGCGGGGCCCCTTCGAGTCCCGATCCCTTTCCATCGCTGCTCTTTGCCCCCCGAGAGACTGATGCCTGCTGCTCCGGCTTCCAGAATAAAATCGTTCTGTCTTAACGAACCGTGGGGTGATGATTCCTTTTAGACCAAAAGGTAATCTTCGACGCCAATGCTGAGGAAATTTCTGAGGAAAGCGAAAAATGTGAAATGCTTTCTGAATTTTTCCTAGGCAATAATTATCCTTCGCGAGGTTATGTTTGCACGGAAGTGCTGCGAAAGGCAGAATTTAGCAATTCAGGGTTTCATATTCGCTATCCGAAAAAGAAATCCGTGCCCGAAATTAAGAAAAGGGGGGCAAGAAGGCCAATTATTCGACACGGCCAATTCCCTCCGCCCAATCCGATGAATCCATTTTGAATTTCATCGCGTTTACCTCAGACTCGTCGGCATGAAGGGCGGGGAGCGAGGCGAGAAGGGCGAGGGCGATTCGGATCCTCTCCATCCTCAAACGGGGGAATTCACTCGAAGAAATTCACTCGAAGAAATTCACTCGGTGGGCACGGAACACGATGTGTCGGATCCCGCGGCGGGAGCCTGCACGCGTTCCGTGGCGTAACGGGACCGGCTGACCCGTTCCTGCTCCTTCCATCCTCACATTCGTCCTTCAATTTGTCCTCGAATTTGCCTTCCTCAGAGAAAGGATGAAAAATCGGAGGACAAATGGGAGGATAGAAGGAGAAGACTCGCGCAGTTATTGTTAGTCGAATTTTCTCTCTCTCAAGGTCGAATTGGATTTCTCTCTGCATTTTTTGTGCGCAGAAGATGCGACTGTCTCCGGCGACCTTTTATGGCCCATACGGTCCTTTTATGGCCCATACATCACTCGCCGGCGGGCCTCGACCGACAGCGGGCCACAGCCACGAAAAGCGGCTTTCCCGTCGAGATGGCACGCGGGAATCCGGTCGGTTCCGAGTCCCTGCAACGCGAAACGGCCTCGAGGAATTGAGCCGCCAAGGATCCGCTTCTAATAGAGGGGAACAATTCCAGAAAGAAAAAAAAATTCTGCCCAGTAAGAAACGCAAATGCGACCCGAGTAACTCACGAGTTGAATTTCGTTCCTGAATTTCCTCATTTTCGGCGCCTATTGGGGGATAATGGCCAATAATGGGGATAATGGCCAACAACGAGAATGGTCCTCCCCTGAATGCTAGAAAAAAAAATTTTTCCTTTTTTTCTTATTCATTGCAGCACGAACTGTCACCGGCCGCGATGTCGGTTCGATATTGCTGATGACGAGAACCAGGACCGCCACTAGGCACCATGTTGGTTGCTTCCGATTGACCCATAAATTCACTCAAACGATTTTTCTGAGTGAATTTATGGTTCAGCGTTCCACGGCGAAATAATTTTTGGATGCAACTTACGAACGACTGACAAAATCCAATAATAACTTTAAATAATAATAATAATATTCAAAACGTGCAAAACCAATACTAATGAGAGCCAATTTTGTCGCTCGATGCCGACAGGGCATTCAACATTGAATACAATTAACTATTTATTTATTTACATATAAAGTCGCGCTTTCGTACTGCAAACTCACGGAAAGCAGCTGGTAACTTGCTAAAATATATTGCAAAATTTCGCTTGAAGCGTTTTAAAAGCCTTCAAAAAAAAAAAGTTTCATCGAAATGGCTTGATCAGGATAAGATTTCATTGGAAATTGGCCTCGAGCAGCAAACGTTGTAACAATTGCATTACTTCGCCCCAGAAAGTACAGGAGAATCGGAAAAACCAGTGGCGGATTATACAAAATTTATGCATAACGCGGACAGTATATTTAAAATGCAGTATATTTAAATTTAGAAAGCACATGAACTAATTTTTATTGGGGCCTGTGAAAACGGCATTTCGGTTTTTACCAAAGACGAAAAGTGAAAAAGGCGATAGCGATGGGCAGGTGGGAGGGGACTAGGAAACCCCTCCCCGCCCCCACCCCCCCCCTCTGAAAAGTTTACGCACCAGTCACTGGGAAGCAACGAGCCAATTGAGAACGCAACGAGCCAATTGAGAACACACACAGTCAATTCACCGACCAGACGTATATTATCGAACAGGCACCACGCGCATCACATCAAGCGACATCCTCCTCCTCGGGGTATTCCCGCCGGAGTTCCTCGTTGGGGACGTAGCCCTTGCCCGCGTCGAAGCGGCAGAAGTACCGCCCGATGAGCGGGTGTCGGACTTCCTTCGGGGGCGTCTTCGCCACCATGTTGTCTTCGGCTGCGTGCTTGAGGAGAGTCCGGGAGGAAAGGACTCGGTAAAAGGGTTGGCTTCTTCTCGGTTGGCTGTTTGTTGGCCGGTCGTGGGCCGGTTGGCTGCTTCTCGGCCAGTCGTCGGCCGGTTGGCTGTTTGTCGGCCGGTCGTCGGCCGGTTGGCTGCTTGTTGGCCAGTTGTCGACCGGTTGGCTGTTTGTCGGCCGGTCGTCGGTCGGTTGGTTGTCGGTGGAAAGCGCTTCTCTCACGTACTCGTCGTAAGGGTCTTGGGAGTCTTCGGAAGTAGCGACCACTCCGGTTTCCAAGCGCCATGCGGTGGGATCGGGGCAGTACGGGTCCCAGCCGTAAATGACGCAGTCGCAGTTGTATCGCTTGTGCCTCATGACCGTGCCCACGCGGTATTTCGGTCGGTCGAGTCGTCTCTTGGGGACGACGTCGTGGCCGGGACGGAGGACGTTGGCCGTCGGATCTTTCCAGGCGGCCATGAGGAGGCTGACGTCCGGGAATTCGTCGGGGACCAACGTGGGCTCCATGAAGCACATCTCGTAGACCATGTCCCGGGCGGCGGCGAGGATCCGGGACGTGGGGTCGGCCCGGCCCTCCCGGAACCGCGGGAGGAGGTCGACGAAGGCGCCCTTGAGGGTCTGGTTCCACGCGACGCGGCGCTCCTCCTGCTCGTACGCGAAGCCGGGCCGCGCGACGCGAGCCGCGACGAAGGCGCTCACGAGGTCCAAGCATCCCACCTTCCTCGCGAGGATCGACGGGGCGTGGAGGTGGAGCTCCGCGGCGACCTCGTGGCGGAACCCGAGGGACCCCGTCATGAACCGGCGGACCTCGCTCACGAGATCGCGGAAGTCGGTGCCGGTCACGTGAGCCCTCACGTCCTCCGCCAGGCCGTCGAGGGCCGCCGAAACCGCGGCCCACTCGAAGGGAAGCTCCGGCCACAGAAGATCCGTGAACACGCACAACGCCGACTCCGCCTTGTACATCGTGGGCATCCGAGCGACCCACTCCCGGTCCGACTCGGCCCCCGCGTCCCGCAACGCATCCAACCTCCTATCCCCGTAAGCCAGCGAGTAAGCGAGAAACAGTTCATGCGCATAGTACAGGAACGTGAGGTCCTCGCCCGCCTCCCCTCCCTCGAGCAGCCCACGAAGCACACACCGCACCACCAAAGGCGCCCCCTCCCTCCTAAAGACCGGCTCCGCAAAGAACCCCACCCACATCCCCTCGGGGCACTTCGCATCCGACCGAAACGCATCCCAAAACCGCGGCTCCCCCCTGTTGATCGTCCTCTGCGCCGTGACCGCATCGTGCCTCGCCTTCATCGGCACCCCGTAGAACGCCCTCGACATCCCCCCCACCGCCTCCCTCACCCTCTCCTCCACCCTCCGCATCCACAGGTACTCCCTCTTGAAGTCCACCTCCCTCTTCGAGTCCACCTCCCGCCCCAGCACCGCCCCCGGCACCGGCCACCTCTGCGCCAACTTCTCCCGGAAGATCCGCCGGTTCTCGCACAGCCCCATCGCGTGCAGCGACCTGCAGGCGACGCTCAGGTGCACCACGTCCTCCATGCTCAGGCTCGAGCTCCTCACCACGTGCTCCATCACCTCGATGGGCAGGTCCAGCAGCGTCGCTCGTCCTCCGCACGCCATCGCTGCACCGTGAACCTGAAGAAAATTCGAAGAGACGCGCTGGCCATTACGAAAGAGCATCAACGCTGGCCATTACGAAAGAGCATCAACGCTGGCCATTACGAAAGAGCATCAACGCTGGCCATTACGAAAGAGCATCAACGCTGGCCATTACGAAAGAGCATCAATAAAAAAAATCGCAGACGTGATTGATAGCAGAGAAACTAAACGGTTTCCTCCATGTCAGCAAAATTCGAATAAACGAAAGGATAGAGTAACAAAGTGAGGGCATTTAACTCCGCCTATATTTGAAGTGATACCTGAAATGGACTTTCTATATTTCCAAGTTCCTTTTAGACGAATTGAATGAAGTTCCTGACAAGGTACGGTTTGCACAGACATATGCAAGCGCTCAAACCGAGCAGGTGATCGCTCTTTGCAGCTTGACCACGCGACAGCGCCCAAATCGCCCAACGACGACGCCCATCGGTGGCCCATCAACGACGACGCCCATCGGTGGCCCATCAACGACGACGCCCATCGAAGCGATGGCCCTCCCCGTCTCGACAGGGCTCAACCGGTTCCTGCAATTCTTTGCACCCCATGGTTACAGTCTCACGGTTACACACTCACCGCACGTACGCATCACCGGATTCCCTTCCCCCGTGCACAGTTCTACGGGAAATAGGTTCAATGACAGTAGGCCATCCATAACTCGCCTGCTGGATCCAACCAACTTCGTGTCGGCGAACCACGAAGACTATAGCCGACTGCCTTCACAGTGCATCGTTTCGGGCGAGTTTCCGTGTTTAATGAGGATTTTAGGCGCGGCGAACTCCACCAATGGACTGGCTTCGCCGATGGCTCGACCGATGAACGCCCTTTAAGACGATTCTCGTATGCCTGGCAGTGGTAATTGCCCTACCAATGAAAAATCTTGCCTCCTCTCCCCCTTTCAGTTGGTTCCGACTCGAAAGCAGGCAATGCAATTTAAATGAAAAAAAAAAAAAATCTTTGCACGTGAACGGGAACCCACGAAAATAACTTCTCCGCCACTTGCGCCCAGAGGACCCCACAACGAAAGCAATTCCTGCCTGCATCCGCGAATCCCACGAACACGACCTCAAAAGAAACTCAGAACGAAGAACACGCACACACGCACACACGCACATCCCGCGTACTCCTCGCCTCCCTCTTCATATCCCTTATCTCCCCCTCCACTCATCTTCCCCCATGCGATCATGAACGAAGGCGATAAAAACGCGGCGGAGAAAAAAACTTCCCAGTCCAATGGGATGGAGAGGCAAGTCGCTGTAATTTCCCTTTTATTTGCCTTTTGCAAATGCTTTCGATTTGCAAAAAGCAGGAGATAAAAAAAAATGGAGATGGGAGTGAGGCGGAGAAAAAAAGACTTTCCCATTTTTTGTGTATTTTCCCCTTCTTTTTGACGTTTTTTTTTTCAACATCATACAGCCAGCATTGGCCTTGGTTACGTTAAAATTTGTGCCAGCGTAAAAATGAAAAGGTTCAGAGACGTTGTACATCACAGCAGTCAATATATTTTTAAATATTAGCTGTCTAGGGAGCTTTGGTCGGTGGGACATCCTCCTGAGAGACAAAAAAAAAAAAAATTATTTCACATTTTCCCTATTTTAAAATGAAACCTCCTGCCCAAGAGTGCTCCGCAGACAGCTTCCCGTGACTTCAGGCCTCTCGAAACGCAAGACCAGCACCACACACCCGCGGCAGCGGATCACAACCGCGAACTTCCACTCGGACGTAGCACGGCGAGAACGGACGCGAGCCTGCGACGGCGGCGCAGTCGCAGCAACACATTCCCGCGGAGGATGCATCTCTCCCAGTCGAAATCTACCTCAGTCCAAACTTCCCGACCTCATCGGCTGCATCACAAAATCGCCATAGGGTCAAAAGCCACAGGGACACACACCGCTTCACACGTGCGTTCTCTAGGGCCAACACTCCAATTAGACATCACTGCTCATCACCCTGCATTTCACCACGAGCCACCCCAGATCGACCTTATCATTCTTGGGGCTCCAGACCTTGCTGCAAATCACTTTATGACTTCTTTCAAATTAATTACTGCCGAGCTAAAAGGCTGGATAGAGATTTTGCTCCACGGGTCCCCAGACTGCCCTTTCATTTTCACCGAAGGAGACGCACCAAATCCAGTCACACCAGAGGGTTTGGGAAACGCTGGGCCGGTCTGAACACTCACTCGTGCATGCGTCTCGGCAGAATATTCATGCGATGTTTCAGGTAACTGTAGGAAACTAGTTGGGCTGTCTCGCACTTAAAAGTTTCATGAAAATGTCTTCAGTAAGAGCTGAAACAAATGAAAGGTTTCTGATACTTTTTCCTTTTACCCTATATATCTCAGCATTATCATCTCAGACTTTCACAATTAAACATAAATTTTTGCGAGACACTGCTCTCTTCGCGTGACCTCCAACCGAATCCAGGTCACTCCACACCCCAGGGACCATAAGGCCGTTACACATAGGGACCTTAGCAGCGAGAGGCACAAATATTATAGAGGATTCAACGACATCCACCTCCGAACGGGCACACTACCGAGAACCATCCCGCGACAACTGTAAGTCGCTCACCATCCTATTTGGGGAAGTGTGCTTCAGCTTGGTGCTGCTCCATCGTCAGTTGTCATCGGGAAAGATCTCGCTGAATGGCTCGCTGCTCTCCTTCAGTTTCCATAGGAAATGTTCCACACTTATCTCGTGGCTGCTCTCCCTGAAATCATTGAGGAAGACCAACCTGGAATTAAAATTTGTTATAACCAAGTCATGAATGTGAATCTCACACTAAGCTTCAAAATCATTCATTTCAATGAAGGTACATTTACAAAATAGGCTTAGAGCGTCACACAAGTAAACGAATTTCTGTTTACAAATTGCTTTTGACAAAATAGAAAGACAAAGGTCAATGGACTTCCAGTAGGCTCCAGGAAAATTGGGTTAATTTTTTTCTATGGTCAATCACTGCAGATAAATGGATTTTGATGATGATAAACAAAAATCCGAATCATTACTGTCCAAAACAGGGAAACAGGCACTCTGTCTCTTGCAATACCTTATCATCTCATGAAATTAAATCATTTCCAAAGCTAGGGTTAGTAAGTAAATAACCACTGTGCCAAAATCAACCTAAAATGGAGATGAAGAGTTCATACTAACCCCACCGGCATCGAATATTGGTCTACTTTCCAACAAAAAAAAAACATTTTGACAGGGAAGACATCCAGCTAACGCCGAGCCACTCGCAAGAACGCTGCACCTTTTTTTTTCCCCCCCCGAAATCATTCAAGACCTACTGTGAAGGGGTCCACGGAGGGCACGAAAAGCAAAAGAGGAGAAAACCCGAAGAGGCCATGGCAGTTCTTGAAAATTAACATGTCTAACCGATAATATTCTTAAACATGAACATAAAAAGATCCCATTTAAGTTCAACTAAAAAGCATAAATTCCTGGAGTATCAAGGTAACTTTTTTCTTACTGATGAAAAATTTACCTGTGAACAAAACTTGCAGGCATAACCAATAGTGTTCTTTAAGTAATACCCTTTCACTGTCACTGGAAAAACCATAACCAAGAATAAAATTTTCATAATGCCTGTAAAAAGAAAACATACTACATAACTCAATCTGACAACCACCTCTGAAACCAGCTTGTGGTTTTCAGAGAAGCCTGCCTTTAATGAGACACACCATGCACGATATCTTGGAAATCAGACAGACGAGAATGACGGAGATCAAGGTGGAAATTTTTCTCATTAAAAGCACCAGGACTGCTTTACCCAAACAAAGAGAAAAACAACACTAAGTATAAGAAGTTCTTAAACGTATCAGTTTCACGATCTGCAGAATCACACAGCTAACATCACTTGTGGACACTCTGCACAGGAACGACAACCGCCCATCACACAGGATATCGTTGGTCATCCGTGAAACAGAAGTGCAAGCCCACCATGCCTCGCTCCTCGGATGCAGTCGCTTCGAGGACAGCGTTGGACCAAAGATGGAGGTGCGTGAATCCACTTCACAGAGCGGCTTCCAAGACCGGCTTCTTGGATCAGTCTCCTTCCTACAATGAATCAGACATTTTTAATGAAACAGTGCAGGGTGACAAGAACTATGGCTCGTGACAAAAATTATTTTCTAAGACTTAAAACTAATTCTTTCAATATGCAAAATGCAATGTTTCATTTCCTATGAAAAAATTAATCCACATGGTATTCATCAGGAAGATGGTAATAACAATCTTGGAAATGGGGACACAGCAACACCAGCAATTACTTTCATGGTGATTCAATCATGCTACAGCTTGCAGGAAGCAAGTAGGCCTTCTGCATATGATCGTCCATCATCCATTAGGCTGTCACCATGCCCTAGCAACCACTTGGCCATCTGAAAGGGGGAAGCTAACTATGAACGACATCGACAACTTCGAGTAGGAACCGCAGGGAGTGGCGGTCAATCTGCAGAGGACCAGTTGTTCCACAGCAACGAACAGAAAAGGCGATCGTACCACTAACCGCTCCAATTGCCCATTTTTTGTACAATAATGAAAAAATGAAGATGGGCCAAGCCATGCTGATAGAAGACCTGAATGTGCAAAACCGTGCAAAAACTGAAACTGATGCTGGGAAACAGTTAAACATCAAATTGAGCAACACCTCATCCATACGGTGCAAAAATTCCAAGTTACGATACCCGACAAAACATAAAATACAGAAATGGGGAAAGTTGCAATAAATTGGTCTGACGAGTTTCTCAAAGTTGTTTCCAGCTATGTAAACAAAAACACAAATTTTACAATGAGAACAAAACGCATTAACCACTTCCAAAAACTTCTATTGCAAAAAATAAATAATTAACAATGAAAAAAAGACACAAGAGAGTAGTTAAAAAAAGACACATGATAGCAATCAAACTAGAAAAACAACTGAAATCATCCAAGGGCCCATCGCAAAGCAAAACAAGAAAGGAAATGCGACTCGGACGAACTCGCTCACCTCTCGGCGCGGTTCGGCGGGCGTTCCGGTCCTCCGATCGTCTGAGGAGACTGCAACCGGACTTCTTTCGGCCGTCCGGGCGTTCCGTTTCGCACGCAGATTCATCGCGTCATCGATCCGGCTCGCTCGCGAGAAGCCGTGCGAAGGCAGGAGCTTGACACCTGGTTCAAATGTAAGAAATCAAGAGATTTGCTCAGCATCAGCTCCCAGACACAAACCCATCTCGACGTTGAACCCGCCCGAGGCGATCACGGTCGACTCTCTCGTCGGATTTCGTAGCGTTCGACTCCGTCGACGGGAAGCGGTTCGATTCGTTCGGCTAGTACCGAGTACAAAGTACTTGTACAAAAGTACTTGTAGTACAAAGCACCAAGCAAGAACTGAAATGCTGCAGAACGAATTGGGCTTATTGGGCCTTTGGGAAGTTTTTGTAAAGTAATGATCAAAAACAGTGCGCCTTTCACGAAATCGCCTGATATTAGGCCAAGATTAAGAGAGAGATGAACTAAACCTATCCTTTACAAAATGTGGAACAATCAGTATGAAAAAGGTGATGGGCCTGTTAAAAAGAACAGGGAAGCTGAGGGGGGTAAAACTTTCTTTTTTTTACATACTAAGCGTATTGTGACACAGGGAAAATTCATGATCCTGAGGTTAATGTGGATGAAAATACCTTATGGACAAGCAAAATGGTCTTCGCTAGCACCTGCATCATAGCCATAAGAGTCCACGCAGTTAAAAGAGCAGAAATCCATCATTTGTAAATAGGCCTAAGCAGGTAATATCCGTTCTCTCCTCGGATTCGATCAAGCACCAACTCGAGCCCCGAGACCTTAGGCCTCACGCCGAGTCGCGAATCGCGCATTCGAGCCGGGCCTGACGCCTCAGGTGAGGCCTATGGTGGCATCCACGTTGGGCCTCCGTGCGAAATAGAGCCCTTCACCGGAAGATTTCTCGGAGGTGGACCGATGAGGTTGAGTCAATGGTCCTCACCTATTACAAAAGCCCGAATGCCAATAAAACTTGACATCCTGGCCATATTAAAAGACTAAATCTAATTAGCCTTCGTGGGACCCTGAAGGTGGAGCCGGTACAGCCATTCAGGCTAGAAAAACGTCTCGTCCCGACGAGAGGCAACGGGGATTTCGGTCACGCACAAACCGCGGGGTCGGCTCGGTCTTCTCATCCCGCACACCGCGTAGGACTCTACTGGCGATTCTACATAAACCAGCACGCTAAAGACTTTTCTCCAGTGCCACTTTGAAAATGAGGATTCGAACGTAGAGATGCATTTTTGCGCAGTCTCCTCCTTTAAAATTTGCACCTTCTCGCTATTTTTAAGAGGCCTACAGTTTCTTGATGGCTTGCCTTCGTCTCTAGTCCCCCGTTCACTGCGAACGCTGAACGCGAGTCCCCAAACGGCCGCGTCATGACGAGGGTCGACGGAGAGGAAAGCCTCATTGAAAGGGATGCAGTTAAGGGGAAGCGTATCGTTACGTTCCTCGTGGGTTCAGCAGACGCCTTCTTCTTCTGCCGGTGACGAAAGTCGCTACGCAGGTGTTTTCTGGTTTATATGAAGGTCTGTATTATCATCATGATCCCTCTGTATAACGGTCTTCCCCAGGGGCGCACTGGGCATCTGGCAGCTCTGGCAAATGCCAGAAGGGCCGGTCCTCTCAAGCGCCGACGGGTCGGTCCTCTCAAGGGCCGACGGGCCGGTCTTCTCAAGGGCCGACGGGCCGTCCTCGCCATTAGTCTCATGAAACGAAATTTACCAGTGAACATGAACAATGGCCTAGCGTGATTGGCATGGGCCCTGGTGCAAGGAATGAAACGGGGCCCGACGTCCAATTCCTTACTATTGAATTATGTGAGAGTCATATTTTTTTTGCAAGTTTTCTCTGCCAGAATATGAATCGTCGTCGGTAGGTGAAGTCGGTGTGGAAGGCAGTGTCGGATTCAGAAATTTTTCGTAGGGGGAGCATGTTTTCTACTTCCCCCCCCCCCCCACCCCCACCCACTGCTACTTCATGCAAATCCTTACGTGTTTATTTCCTCCGAGGGCCNCCCAGCCCCCCCCCCCCACCCCCACCCACTGCTACTTCATGCAAATCCTTACGTGTTTATTTCCTCCGAGGGCCCCCTGGAAAAGTGGGGCCCGGGGCAACAGCCCCGTTTGCTCCCCGCCTTAATCCGGCCCTGGGTGAATGGCATTGGAAGCGGCCACCACTTCGTCTGACCACACGAAGCGGCGTCCCAGTCACTATATGTCTCTGGGCAGTTTCGCATTCAATTCCTTGGATACCTTTTCCTTTTCGGCCGATGGCCCTCACCTCGTTCGGATGCCAAGGGGCCCCCCCCCTCCTCCCTTCCAATTAGGTAGGTCTAATTATTGCTTTGTAGTTCCTTTCAGTTATCAGTTTTGGCTTATAAGCCATGACCTCAACGAGGGCCGATTTTTTTTAGTCCCAGTCCGCCCCTGGTCTCCCTTGGTCAGGCGCGAGACATCCGCATAGCGGTGAAGCCCCGTTAAAGTAAATCCAGGGTAGGATATGCGAGCGCGGAAAGGCCTGATGCCAAGGAGGTGCGAGAAAAGGGACTATTCATCCCTAAGGGGAATATACATCCCAGTCCGCAGGCAAAATCATTCACAGAACTGAAGCGGTAATGCTTCTACAATTACCCTCATACCAGTCCCATTGCAACCACCGTCGCTTCCCACTCCCCCCTTTAACAGGAAAAAATGGGAAACCCTCATTCTGCATGTGTTCTCCCTCCCAGGCAGGAGTCCTTCCTTTTATGTTATTCATGCGGATGGGCTCGGGGAATGAATGAACTCCGGATTAAGTTCCCTGTTGCCCCTTGGCGGACGAGAGTGATGACAGGAAAGGAGAGGAATTGGAATGAGAAGAGTATGGTTGCGGACTACCTATAGATCATGGTGAGGGGTCGAAAGTTCCGAGTGACACCTGGGGGAGTATGACTGTACCCAAAGCCGCCTAGAGCGACGCACAGAGAGCCGCTCGTCTGATCGAAGGCCCACCTCCCCTCCCCTATACGCATAGGACCTAGTGCGATGCAGGTTACTCTGAGCCAGTATCTTTCCGGGAATACTCACAAGGCGGTAGAAAAAAAGAGAGAAAATGTCCTGGTCTCTTCAGAAGCCCTCGTAGCATTCTAGGAAGATGTTCAATCGAATTTGGAAATTCGAAATTGGCAATTGGGGAGTCACTGAATCTTTCCAACGAGCCGGGAAGCCAACATGGTAGAAATTAGGAGCATGCCGATCGTCAAAAAGGAAGGTGAGGAAGGAGAGAAGGGAAACGGGGCGACCGCCATCACAAGGAGGAGGGGGAGGCGCTCATTCGTGATTGAGCGCTGCCATTGCAGTCTTCCAGGTTGTGGGTTACCTTACTGGATATGGTTGAGGGTGAGGGGCGTGGGGAGTTCGATAGCAAATGCTGATGCGATCCGGAAGGAACCGCATTGAGTTTCTGCTTTTTCTTCACAAGCTGCGGACGTCGTTGTGCCTCTATAGAACTAAAGGGCTGATCAGGTGGAATATGAGATGGTAATGCATAATTACATGAGAGCTAAGTAAACAAATGTTCATTCCATTGTAAATGGATTTCTTCACAACGAAGAAACATGCTATATACAAACATTTATGGCATACTTCAATTTACGCCGAACAGAAGAACACAAAAGTTCTGAACGAGTTCTGTACAAAAACCGTTGATGGTTCTGTGCTAACATGTTCCAATATGTTTGGTTTGGGATCTAATGGTACCACTGGTACCAATGGTAACAATGGTTTGGGATGCTAATGGTACAAATAGGATACAATTACGTACAAATAAAACCAGACCTAAAATACCGCCCTGATCTAAGTTAGCACTGTGTACCATATCGGTTGCAAATGTTCGTCGAACCTTGAACGTACTGTCCACAAAGGGCTAAGAACTAACGGGAGTCGACCTGCAGAGAGGCTCTGGAGAGGAAAGTCTCATTGAAAGTTGCAGGGAAGAGATTTGGTAAAGGAAAGCGCATTGTTACGTTCATTATGTGTTAAGCCGAAGAATTTTCCTTTTTGCCTCTGGTGGGTGTCACAACATAGGTGATTTCTGGTTTAGAAATTGGTCTGGTTTATTATCATGATCTCTCTGCACAACGGTCTTGGCTGTCAGGCGCGAGACGTCACAAGCAATGCAAACGCGGAAGGCCCATTCAGAGTGAAACTCGGATGGGATGATTCCGAGGGATGCGAGTAAGGGATGTAGGCACGGGACTGTCTTACTCCCAAGCGGACGAAGACCCAGTAGACTAGAGCCTGCAGGCAAAAGCATTCATGGAACCGAACCTTTAATCAGCTCCGACGGCTCTCTGCGAGCCAGGTAAACAATTATCCTTCTAGAACAGCGAGTAATGCAGTTTTGCAGTAGATGTTTTAGTGTGAGTAACGCCATCGAGAAACCAGAATCCCTTGTTCTCGAAATCCTTCAATCCCGATTCTATGATTAATTCCGCAACGCCCCCCGAGGTCTTCGTGCAGGCCGCTAATGCAGACAGCTTCAACTCGTCGGCATAGTCCATCATGTTCAATGCGCCTCTATTTTTTTTTTTAAGGAAAGAAGGATCATCAACCGCAAGGGTACCAGTACTTGTTGCTCTCAACGTCGCCAAATTACCAATGGGAATCGTGCTCGACACACATCTTTGTGCAAGAACTTCACATACGAAAACAATTACATTTTTGATGAATGACATCATTCGTGATGAATGACGTTATTCGTTATGAATGACGTTATTCGCTATGAATGACGTTATTCGTTATGGATGACATGATTGGGAGTGTTTGGAGGGCTTCTATTTGCTGAGCGCGCCGATGTCGTTTGTCAAAAGTCATTTCACCTATTAAACCATGTGAAAAGGTGGAACGAGCATGGTGCCCATGAATAAATAAATAAATAATTTCATATTCTACATAGGGTTATACAAACCCAAATAGGGTTTGAAAACAACATGGACCCACACAACTTTTCAGTGTCGGCTCACCTGCGCGAGAGACCGCAATTACTGGAAATAAAACACACAAATGTGAGTGAGTCCCAGATGTCGTTTGTCAAAGGGCATTTCACCTATTAAGCAATGTGACACGTCGAAAGAACACGGTGCCCATGAATAAACAAATAAAAAAATCAACTTCTACATGAGGTTATAGA